TACTGTTACAACATTCCTTGTTTATTTTGTATAATTGTATGTTGGATTTTCATCTAGTCTGCTTTATAAACCGCAGGGTCTGAAATCTAAAAAGAGTTTATGTAATTTAAATGAGCAAATAGATAGAGATAGATGATAGATAGATACTTTATTTATCCCGAGGGAAATTCAAGAATCCAGTGATTATAATAGTCTTAATTAGAAAAAAAACCTTACATTTGCTTACATTGTCTCCCTGAAATTTTCTTAAATCTCCCTCAGAACCCAATTTTCTCCAAAATTAGCTCTGTAAACTTGTAAACTCTATTAGATGTTAGAAACTTTAACATTGATTTCAAGAATCTGTTCCTGGTCTTTAAATTGAGCATCTAAATGCATCTCTGAAAGGTAATTACATTTTAAAACACCTTCTCTGATTATCACTTTTATAGTGAGTAAGACATTAAGTCTATGCTGATTTTCTAGGACCATGTGTTTCTTTGCTTTTGCAGACTAAAGCTGACATAAACAAGTGGATGTCAGTGGATTTCATTGTGCAAGACATAGAAAAAAACAACAACATGAGAGCGACTTACGGATGCGTGTATGAAGGCTGGAAATGGACGCTCCAAAAACTAAATGTACACCTCTACTGACTCATCTCCTCTCTGCTCTAACCACAAAATGAGTGTAAATGGAAAGATTGTGTATTGTAAACTGCAACCTTTCAAAAAAAGCAATGCTCTTTTTATTCAATCAAGTCACATCATTCATCTTACATCACCACAGAACATTCTTTCAAAAACATAAAAAGGCTACATTTAAAAGTAGTAATTGCTCAGCTTCTGGCTGCTACTGTGATAATTGTATGCTCTCTTGTTTTAAATCTAAAACAGTTCAATTGAAAGCAGTTTCAAGATCACTGTTTTTGTGATTGGAAGTAATTGCAGCTTTAGGTTCCCTAATAAAAATTGTACATCAGGCCATATCACAGTTCTTTAATTGACCATCCCCTAAACCATTCTCCCTAACAATGAAAGCTTAGTGATCCTAACAAAGTCTGTCAAGCTTTGGATTTAAGTGGTAAGTATTTCTACAGCATGCAGCAGGGCCGTGTTTGCAGAGCTGTGGCTGTGGAAATACTGAATTTCTAAATGATATACTTACATTCCTATGATGTTCACATATGAGGTTAATTTAGTCTGTTAATAAAAATGCTTGAGATTGCAATTCTTTCAACAAAAATATGACGAAATGGGGCTTGTACATTGACAGAATATAATTAGTGGACAGAGCTTCCAGGCCTGTGAAGTGAAGACAACTCAGAAGTGTTGTAAACCTGCATTATTTCTAATGGCCAGCAGGGGTGGTTGCAAAAAATAAATCCAAAAATGACCTTCTCACTTCATTTATTAGCTCAGTAAACAGTCTCCTAAAGAGTTTATGGTCTCAATCGCTAGTTTGAAGTCTTCTTCCATACAGCATGATGTTCATTTAGTAAATTACGGTCCCATTTAGAGTAGACTAGACTATAAAGCAGGGTATGCTTTAGGGCGGGGCTACCTTGTGACTTTTCAGTGAGATCAAACTGTCAAACTGATGATCAAACATGAATCAATATTCTGTTACTGCCTATTTCTTGTTTAAAATCTGTCCCGAAACATATTTTAAAACACTGTTTATCTGTAACATGAATATGTGTGTGTCGAAGCTCAACTCGTCATCTGCTGGATGCAAAAAAACAACATGGCGATGTCTGTAATGCCAAATTGGAGGCTCAAAAACTGTCTTCAAAACTATTAAGTTCACTCACGACAAACTGTGTCACTCAGGATTTAATAAGCATAATTTTTATGGCTGCAGGGCATCATGAAAAGAGACTCTGAACACCTGTTTCAGGCATAGATACAGTTTGCAATTCAAAGCCATCCGTCTGCAGCTCTACCAGCTGTCACCAACTCACTCTAAACGTGCATCAACATGTCACCAAAGCACTGATCATAGAGTCTAATCTATTTGAGCTAACAGGCAGCGTCCCATCATTGGATGATGGACAGTTAACACGCATTAATTGTGGGATTTGTACAGTTTTAGCACAAAAAAACCCCAACTCTTTGTGTTGATCTCCTCGTAAGAATCTCAGTCATTCTGTTTTTTTCTCCTCACGATGACGCTCATCGGCTCAGGAAACCCATCTATCTCTACGTGAAGCAATTCCGCGATTAGTTTCTGAAGCACTGGCTTTTCTCAAACTAGGAATGTGAGAAGCAGCAGCAGACGACAGTCAGAGGAATGTGAAAGTAAATTATCTCCATGTCAACTGGATTTTCTCTTTCTTGTGTTTATCAGCACAGCAGCAAGAAAAACACATATTTACATTTCAGTGCCATAGATGTGTTTCTGAGAAGAACCCGATTTAATGATCTACTTCTGGGAATTATTTTATTTATTAGAACAACTGCATGTATGCATGATATTCCCTGCCTGCCTCGCTTGCAACAGAATACCAAAAAAAGTCCATGCAAACAGAACAAATAACGTGAACATAGTTAAAATGTTATAAGCTGCATTTGCATCAGTAACGGCACCTAATCACTCACCCATGTAGACGTTTTCAGTGGAGTTTCCCTTTCTGACCACCAGTTTCAACTGCAAGAGGGCAAAGTTTGTGTTCAACCAAACTGAACAAAGAAGTGCGAGACTCCGTGTGTGTGTGTGTGTGTGTGGTCACTCGAATGCAGAGCTATCGTACCTGCAGAAAGATGTTTCCCACTTTCTGTAGTTCACTGGTGCCGACCGTCACTGTGGGGAAAAACACACCCAGACTTGATTCATAATAAGTGAGATCACAAACAAGAACACATTGAGTTATAATCCAAAAGACTATTTTAGAAAAATGTATCATCATTGTTGCACAAAGGTTCAATGTTAGATATTTGTAAAAAAAAAAAAATACAATAATACATATAAACATCATAACAAGTCTTTATATGTGTAAATAAGTAATAGTAACTTAAACTGTCAGATTTAGTGCAATAAAATGCACAATATTTGCCTGAGATGGTGTTTTTTTATAAAGTTGCATAAAATATAAATACTCAAGTAAAACATGAATCTGTACTTAAGTAAAAGTAATTAGTTACATTCGATGTTTAAGATAAACGGTAAAATCTGCTCATCACCTCTGTATTTTGATTGTTTCTCAGTGTTTCAAAGTCTTAAAACATATTCAACCGATTTTGAAGATGTTTGAAGTCTTTAAACACGTATAAAACGTATAAGACTCTTTTTATGCACTTTATATAAATTCAGCATTGTCTCAGGGGGCACCAACATGTGAGACGAGCAGTGGCCATATTGGCTTTCACACTAGTCAAGTCTCCACAGAGGCCAGACTGGATACAGCCGACTCACCGGCAACATGCAGAGACACAGTCTGTCTGCCTGGCTCAAGGTGTTTTGCATGTCAATAACAGTACAGTCAAGTAAACTACAGTGGAGAGTGCAGGCACTGAACTGTATCACAGTGTCTTTCTGTACCAACATCAGCTCACCAATAGTTTAACATAATGCTCATTATTCTCCTGCCCGCCATATTAGCATTTCTATTCCCTGTGAGTCTTAAGAAGTCATTAGGCTGTATGAATAAACAATGAGGCCTGATAGAGACCCATCAGCTGTACACATCTGAGGTGTTTAAATGAGACTGAAGCCAAAACAAAGAACATAAGCCATGCTAATGAGCATGTTAGACTGGAGCCTCTGTGTTCATGAATAAGCGCTGTAAGTTAGAGACATCAGCAGCTCTCCCAGCATGTTCAGAAATAGACTCGAAGTAAACCTATAATTTTGTCAAGAGCTAAATTTGATGTGATGTCTGGTTCTGCTTCGTCTCACCTCCAAACTTCCACTCCATGTCAACCAGCTGGTTGACCATCAGAGTCTGCCTGACTGCCAGTCTGGACAGCACTGCATAGTGCTCCCCCCACTGCAAAATACAATTAGAAATGTCAGAAAGACGCCTGTGCTGATTCGATCCAGTCTGGAAAAATAAGAACAGATTTTATAGGACTTTTTGAGCTCAGGAGGCAAAGTAATATTAAAAGAGATGTCCAGATACCGATTCAGATACCTTAACTTTGTGTATCAGCTGATATGGAGCACCGATCCAATACATACGCGTAGGAAGTTAACAAGCATATATTACTTAGTCTGTATGATTGTTAAACCCTTTGTCAGAGTCAGAGTAATAACAGGTCATAACTTCACTATCCTGGGGGAAAAAATGGTGAACAAGACACTCCTGGAAAGTAGCGGGTCCCGTTTCAGGGCTAATAAATCACATAGAATCAGATCAGTGCATTTAAGGCAGCATCAGAGGGATTTTCGATACCGGTATCAGTATTCCAACGAAATGTATGGACTGGATCTAATTATAAATCTAAACATCCGGAATTTATGGAAAGTTACCTGCTGTGAAAAGTGAGTCGCCTTATCTTCGTTTAATCCTGTAGAGTCAACAGATAGAGCAGATTTGGTTTTCACGTGTAAAACGATCAACAACAATGAGGAGAAATATCGTGGGAAGTACGTGCCACCTTTCAACATGACAGGTCGTCATTAGAGAACACTATCCGGCAGCTATACTTAACCCCTGTTGTCACATTGACCCTGTTAATAATCGACTCTGCGATGAAGGATTCAGATGTGTACCTAATGTCAAGAGGTCCTCTTTGATCTGCTCCACTGTCAGGTTTTTCTTCAGGGCTCCTGAGGAGAAAAGAGACGAAGGAGAAAACACTGAGACGGAAACCTTCCTGCAGCTGCGGCTTTTCTTCTGTCACTTTATAGCTCAACTTTCATGAGTATCAAATTGAGTGGCGTGGGAAAATTCATTACCAGTGTTTTAGGTTTTTTGACAGCTAAAAGTAGGAGGTACAAGCTACATCCAACGACGAGTACAAGAGTGGAGAACATGTGTGAGGAAAGAGCTGTGAAACCGAGGGCTCCTCCGAACTAAACTAACTGGACCACGGTGGCTGCAGATGGAAAAGTAAACAGGCCAAATTATTGAATTAATGGCTAATCGCTACACTAACTAATCACTAACTGAAGCAGAAGCAGATAAGGCAGGCGAAGGGACAGAGGAGACGTCCACAGCTAAATTATCTCACCACATTATCTCAATCAAACACCTGGAAATAACTGGATTTATCATACAATATTTATCAAACGCTCCAATTAATTCAAAACGCTGCAGCACGAGTACTGACAGGAAAAGAGATCACATCTCTCCTGTTCTAGCTTCTCTGCATTGGCTCCCTGTTAAATTTAGAATAGAATTTAAAATTCTCCTCCTCACCTATAAAGCTCTTCATGGTCAGGCCCCTTCATATCTTAAAGAGCTCATAGTA